CATACAATTAGAATATTGAAAAAAAAAAAATATATATAATTTTGTACAAATGTAATCATTTTGTAAATGATAATAATAATAAGTGAAATTCTTGGAAAAGAGAAAGAAAAAAAAGAATGTGACAAGTTTTCCATAATATTTTAATATTATTTTACAATAATAATACTAAAATTAGGGAGGGCAATTTATTATTATGTTACTATTTCGGAATTTCCACCAAATTAAATTCAGTTTGGAGTAACCAAATATGCAAGATGCTATTTTTCGTGTGACAAGAAACCTTAAAACAGATGATTTGAACCTTGTATGTCAAGGTCAGTAAATTGTTGGGAGAATTTGATATTTTAACATTTTCATGTCAAATGAAGTAACCCCAATGTTTTTTTCTCTGCACGAATATTTGCACGTGTTTTGAAGTGGATTTTTAAGATTTCTCCTTTTCATCCTGTGAGACATGGCTTGAGATAAAAGCATTCAAGTGAACCTGCACATTTGCGAGTACAATTCTTTGAAAACAACGTTGCTCACGTTCCCACATACCTCGTGAAACAATATGCAATCTGGTTCTCAGTCTTTCATTCATGCAGTTTTGTGCTCCACGTTAGCACTGCATGCTCATAAAGCCACCTAGTGCAGCGGAGTCTGCGACACACTGTAACTCTGTGAAAGACTGAGGAAGGAAAACCCCAAGGGTGCCACAGTCGTGAATAAAAGACCAGTGTGAGAGGAGTGAGTTAGTGTGTGTGTGCATGTGTTACGAGTGACAGATGCAACACGAGGAGGCAGTAAAATGACGAGGTGGTGGGACAGCCAGAGAGATCGTAACTCTGTCACTGGAGGAGGGAGAGAGACACTGTTTAGGCATCTCTGCAGATAAATCATTTGATAAATCAACAGGATGCTTCCGCCCTCGGCATCGCAGCTGGCCGCATTCACCGTCTGTTTTCATATCATGTCATTTATTAAAAAATAAGTTTGGAACTACATATATTTACATTTTGTGAAGAGTTTGTCCATGCAAAACTGACTGCGACAATGGTGGGATGCTACTGGTGACATACATATACAGTGCTGGGTAGTAACTAGGGCTGGGTTTTGACACGCGGAGCCAACGCTGCTCCAACACACAAACCATGTCGTTTTCAAATAAGCCTGAAGGACTTGACTAGCTGGATCTGGTGTGTTTAATTAGGGTTGAATCTAAACTCTGCAGGACCCCGGCCCTCCAGAAACTGAGTTTGCCACCCCTGATTTAAAGGCTGAAATGTGAGGTTTACCTTTTTATGATTTTTTTTTTGACAACTTTATTTGAACACCTAGTACAGTAATGCATTACAATATTGCGTTATTCCCTTATAAAGTAACTAGGGCTGGGTTTTGACACAAATTTCACGATTCGATTCGATGCTCATTCACAAGCTTGCGATTCGATTCGATTACCGATTCAATATCGATTATTTTGTATATATATATCAGGTACAGTACATGCCAAATTTCCTCAAGGAAAAAAATCTCTCAACTAATGCTGTAAAATATACATGAGAGTCAGTTACTACATTACTATAATACGGAATGTTTAGTCATGTTTATTTTGTGCTGAAACTGGTATTAATGTGGATGATCGGTTCACGTGCGCCTCGTGCTGCCGCGTCTGCTGAACTGAGGCGTTATATACAGCGATCTATCACTCCACATTAAACAGCGCCAAAACGGCATTTATTGTTTGAATACTGCAATACA